AGAGAGAGAGAGAGAGAGAGAGAGAGAGAGAGAGAGAGAGAGAGAGAAACAGTGAGAGAGGAGGAGGAAATAAGAGAATGGTGGGGGAACATAGAAGGCAGTGGAATACATATGTCATGAAGGCTGAAATAAGGACAATTTGGGGGAGTGAATAGGATCACCAAGATGATGCAGACATTAAAGAAGGCTGGGGAGGGGGTAGGAACCCAGAGTAACTGCAACTCCGAATGTGCATGGATGCACACATGCACACATGCACCAATAGCATAATGAAACCCTTTATTTTGTATGCTAAGTTTAAAAAAATTAGAGACTGGAAAAGACAAGAGTACAAACTCAAATGCAAGTACCCATGTCTGGTCTCAGGAAGCCCAGTGTGATGGGCCTACTCTCGTATTCTCTTTAGGACAAAGATGGAGGAAGCCTAGGGCTCAGAGTTCATTACAGTGGTCTATCTTTTGTTGCTGTGAAAAAAAATATCAGGAGAAATCATCTTAAGGTCTGAAAGGTTTATTTGGGCTCCTGGTCTCGGCTTCAGCAGTCCATGATCCCACTGTTATTAGTCCTGTGGTGACAAAGAACATCATGGCAGAAGTGGACACGGAAGAAAGCTGCTCGCCTGAGGCATCCAGGGAGCAGAGAACAAAGACAAAGAAGTGTCTGGAGATAAAGACAAAGCCTTCCAAGGCCCCATCTCCAGTGACCTACTTCCCCAAATCGTCTGTGCTTCCTAAGAGCCCGTTAAGCTATGAGCTCATCACCAGGTTTGCCCATTCCCACCTCTCGGGGATACCACTGCCTGGCGATCAGGCCATTAAATTTCAACACTGCTAGCAAAGCCACCTGTCCTAGGAAGCTTTTTGTAAGCCTCTGGCCTGCATCCACCACTTGCTTCTCATCTTTCAAGTCAGGAGGTGAGCTAATTTCTTGGCTGAATCAACTCAACAGAGAGCCAAAATGGTTTGATAGTCATCTAATTTGAAACCAATGTAATGGGCCAATCCAGAAAATTTGGTCCACAATGGAATTCATGACTTGAAATTTGTTTCCACTGTCTCAGAAACCAGGTGTGCAGAACACTTCATGCTGGTGGAGTCTTCTGTATAATAATAAAGTGGGCCCTTAAAACCTTAGAGTCAGACATCCATGACAGATTTTTAGGATACATACAAGCCCGGCCCCTCGATCCTAGCCATGGCTTTGTACCTGATGCCCACACAGTTCTTTTTGCATACCTCCAACTCTGTGACTAGACTATGTTTACCCTCATCCCCTCCGGGATGTCACAATCAGGATTAAATTACAATCAACTCCATTGTCACCTCCTCCTCGATGAGGTCTTTTGACAACCGTGTCTCAAGTAGTTCTCATTCTATCCTCTGTCACTGTACTGTTTCCTCTGGGTGCCTGTCCCAACCTATGGTGACTCACCTGCTTCTTATGGACACCTTCTGCTCCCCTCAGCACCTTCACTGCCAAGTTCCAGGGACCCGGTAGCATGTCCCAGCAAACAAGCAGATTCTCAGCCTGGGTGACTTAGAGCTAGTTCCTCCCTCCAGATGAAATATCTGTGGCCTAGGGAAGTTAGTCCCTCACTAATACCACCGTTCAGCACTCCAGTCCTTAAGCCTCCAGAAGAGCCCAGAGCTGTTCTCCTGCAGCTCTGCTCTGGCTCTAAGGTTTAGCTCTTTGACGGTTAGTTCGCCAAATAGAACAGGCATAACCATTCTCCGGAATGCAGCTTTAAAGCTCTATCCACTTAAGTTGAAAAGCAAGTGCCCCTGCGAGCTGGCTGTTAAGAAACAAGGCTAGCCACCAGCAAGAACTTTTCAAATGTAACATTGCTGATGTTTACACTAAAGAGGAACGAGTGATGCTTAAATCATCATTGTAAGCTCACTACATGAGACAATTGAAACAGAACACCAAAATTAAAGGTCCTGCCCTTGTGTTGTTTACCTGGTAGAGAACATGAACATTTGGGCGATATTTGTCTTTAAAGGATAAAGAGGTGATAATCAGGAAAATAACCTTATATTTATGTCAAATATTACTTCATAAAATTCCAATTGCGTTTTAACTTGTTTACCACCATGAACCCTGTCGTTGGTCCTCATGTGATACTCTAGTAATAACACGTATGGATTTTAAAGAAATGAAAACTGTATGGAAGTAAATGTAAATGTAAATTCATAAGAGAAAAATGTTCTTTATTGGAGGCTTATGAGGAACATTCTTAGTGATGTCATTATGATACTGGCTGCTTTAATAAAGATAATATGTCACCACTAATATTTCACCATTCTATGTATTTGTGTGTTTGCATGTAAGTGCTAGAGCAGAAGTCAGAGAACAACTCAAAGGAGTCAGTCCTCTCTCTCTCTCTTCCACATGGGGTCTAGGTGTCAAGCCCAGGTCATCAGACTTGGTTGGTATTAAGCACCTTTGCCCACTAAGCCATCTTGCCAGTCCAGTGTCACCAGTTTTTTTAAGTCCTGGTAGTAACCTGGGACATAAAATAATAACAACCTAGTGCCTTGGTAAATCTCTCTCTACACCTTAACACCCCACATGAGGACAGAACTGAAGAGTGGGTATTTCTCCACCTCAGTGGCTCTGAGCATTGGAAGACAGCTGAGACCAGGGATAGCCTTTGCTACTGTTCTTGTACTCTAACCACTGTCCCAAAGAAATAACCTGTGAGAACGGGTCTCAGTAAAAAGCTGGCATGGCAGAGACATGGAGAATTCCCCAATCATCGCACCACATAGCACTAAGCAGCTATGCTGCCACCTTCAATGAGTCTAAGGAAGGGTCATACCCCATTCTTGCCTCCTCCTGGCCTCTCACTTATGGAAACCATGATGATCCCACAGGGCCCATAAGTGAAAAGTCAGAGCCACAGGAGCAGGACACCAACTTTGAACAGCACAGACTGGTGTTCACATTGTCCTGTGTCACAGCCCTCTTAGAGTGACCATGGATTCCCTCCTCTGGCTCTTAGTCAACCTCAGTTCAGCTCTGAACTCCAAGGCCAGTACACAAAGGAAGTCTACTTGAGTCTGAAGGGTGTGGCCTTTGGGAAGTCAGCAGGTCAACGAGCCTCCAGGGTCCACTATGCCACTGGCAGGGCCCATGTCATACTGGCCAAGGCACCGCCCTATGTGGTTTTGGAGCACGTCTGCCTCACATAGAAAACATCGCTTCCTTTGCTCTCGTATTTTCCTCCAGCCTCAGCCCCTGAGAATGAATGCACGATACCAGGTGGAAACCGAATGCTGCTCATGAGAACAACAGCTCTCCGCAGAGGGCCACCAACACACTTTAAACCCAAGGGGGTTACCCTCAGACACTTGGGCCTGCCACCCTGGGTAAGAGAGCTATAAACACAAAACAAGTCACGCTGAAGCTGCATTACTACACACAACCTCTCTGAAGGCAGGCTGTTCTTGGGCCTTGAGTAAATCTTGTGGAAGTTTGTCCATTCATCTAAGTTGGCCTCCTCTGCCTGCCTGTGTGTTAAGATATCTGCATGCTGCATAAACGTGAAAAAAAAAAACTTAACTTGTAGGAAACAACTTCTCGCTATCATAATGAAACCTTCCTCAAAATAACTACAGGTGAGGCACAGTTACCCCTCTAAGTATTTTTGGTTCAGTCTCAAAGGGAGGATCAATAATGAAGTCATCCCAAGCAGCACCTCTGAATAAAGGTGGCACCGAAACCAGAGCACTTGCTTAGCATCCAGGAAGCCTGGGTTCAACTCCCTGGCACTATACAAAAACAAAACAAGAACGAAAACAAAAACAAAAAACCCAGAACAAATCAATATAAAATCAGAGTATCCGCAGGCATTAGATACTCTGAGCCCAACATTAGATACTCTCCTGAGCACAACCCCTGCCCACATGTCATAAAGACCCAGAGAGCTACAACAGGATTGAAGCCAGCATTCTTCCCAGGCCAGTGGAAGGAAAATGGTGGAAGATTGGTTTTGAAATCTTGACATGATCTATACAGACAGCTTGGGTTGATGCTCTGAATCAGGCCCCAAAGGGACGCCAGAGCTGACATCTGGGCTGTTCCAAGAGTCTGCTTGCCATTCTATGTGCACAAGTGATCGACCTGCTCCACAGACATATGGGCAACCAATACCTGGTCAGGCTTTGATATAGCCATGTCATCTAGAAGATCAGAAAGGCCACGAGCCCTAGGCTCTTCCACATCAGCCAGAGAGTTTTTTTCTCATCAGCCACATCTGATGAGAGTTTTTTATAACATTTCTGTAGTTATTCTGATACCCCCTAGAGTTTGACAGCCAATGGCCCACTCCATAAAAAGCCTAAGGTAACTAAACAGGCAGATGTACTTCATTCTTTTCTTCATACTTCATTCATTCTTTCATTCATACTTCAGTAGTTTCATACAGGTCAGTGAATTCAATGAGTTGAAAGAAGACATAAAAACTAGCTCAATGAAATTAAAGAGGCAAAAAATTAATGCCTGAGTGGTGGCCAAGAAAACACAAATATATGACTGAAGTAAATGAGGAAGATAATTCACGATCTGAAAACTGAATTCAGTAAAGAGATAGAAATATTGAAGAGCACTTGAGATGAAATAAAGATGGAACAAAAACGGGGGTGTCAATCATATTCCACTTTCCTGCGAGTTGTGAGTGTTGGCGGCAGAATCATGGTGGACATAATGGAACTTCCGAAAGCGCGCGTCAACGCCAGCATGTTAACACAGTATATCGACTGGCCCATGTGCTTCGTGGGGAAGCTAGAAAAGATTCATCCTACTGGAAAAATGTTTATCCTTTCAGATGGAGAAGGAAAAAATGGAACCATTGAATTGATGGAGCCACTTGATGAAGAAATCTCTGGAGTCATAGAAGTAGTTGGAAAAGTCACAGCCAAGGCAACCATACTATGTGCATCTTATATTCAGTTTAAGGAAGATTGCAATCGTTTTGATCTTGAACTTTACAATGAAGCTGTGAAAATTATCAATGAGTTTCCTCAGTTTTTTCCTTTAGGGCTTACACAACATGAATGAGCTTCTTGAGTTTCCTAAGATTGCCCTTGAGCTACATTGAAGGCTATTAAAGAAGACTCCTTCAGCTTAAGGGGGAAATACCTATCACTTCTAATATTTAATTTGCTCTTTTTTATGTATTTTTTTGTAAATCTAATATGATAGTTTACAACTAAGTCTTTTTATAAATTTTTAAAAATTGATACTTCAATATATGGTCTGAATAATAAAACCAAAATATGAAAAAAAAAAAGATGGAACAAAAACAAAAAAAAAACCAAAACAAGCAAAAAAGCCTCAATTACCCAATTAGAAAACTCAAGAGGCTCAAGTAAAGCAAACAAGTAGAAGAACAAGACCACTCAAGCAAAGAATGTAAAAAAAAAAAATACTGAGAGATATGCAAGAACAGTGGGACACCATGACAAGACCAAATCTTTGAACTAAAGCCATAGGTAAAGGAGAAGAATCCCAGATCAATGTCATAGACTGGATCTTCAACATGGTCATAGAAGAAAACTCCCCTAAATTAAGGAAAGACATATCCATATGAAAACATGAAGCACAGAACTCCAAATAGACATGTCTAGAAAAGAAACTCCCTATGGCATATTATAATGAAGACATTATACAGAACAAAGAGGGGTCACAGAAAGCAAAAAAGAAAAAACGAAATTCCACACATAAAGGAAAACTCATCAGAATAACAACTATTACTCAATGGAATCTTTAAAGTCTGGAAGAGCTCACAGCAATGCACCCCAAGTTCAAAGGCAGATATTGAAACCTAGAGATCTTAACTCAGCAAAACTATCTGTCATAGTTGAAGGATACAGAAAAATTTTTCATGATATAAACAAGCTAAAAGAATCCATGTCCATCAAACCAGCCCTAGAGAGAATACTGGAAACCATGTTCTAGACTGAAGAAAGGAATGAGAGAATACAGAAACCAAGCAAATGAAGCTACAGTTATGGAAACACAAAATAGAAATAATAACTAAACAGAAAAATGATAATGACCAACACATATCTTTCAATAGCTTTATATACTAATGGCCTCAATTCTGCAATCGAAGCAAGTAAGTTAGTTCAATGGCTTATAAAACAAAATCTCATATCTCTTGTTGTCTACAAGAAACTCATAATACTTTCAACAATAGGTGCTACCTACAAGTAAAAGAATAAAAAAAATCTATTCTAAGCATATGAGATCAAGAAGCAAGCAGGTGTCACTATCCTAATATTGACAAAATAGACTTCAAACTACAACTAATCAAAATAGAGAAAGACAGACATTTCATTCTAACCAGGGAACAATTAACCAAAAAGACATTACAATCCCATACATACATACATACATACACTAAACTCTGGCACACCCAATTTTATAAATGCAAACTATTGAACTTAAAGACAAAGATTAAATCAAAGTCTGTAATAGTAGATAGTTTTAATACCAGACTTTCCCCAAAAGACAGGTCATCTAGAAAGAAAAACAACAGAGAAACTCAGAATTAAGGGCATCTTACAGCAAATGAACCTAATAGATATCTACAGAATTCTTCATATAAACAACAAACAATGAGCATTCCACTTAGCAACCCATGGAAGCTTCTATAAAATAGACCACATCATCAAACACAAAATAAATCTTAATAATTTCAGAAAAATTGAAATAATTCTATGTATCCTATCTGACCACAATATAAGAAAGCATACAATCAATAGCAAGGGAATCTGTGTTAATTACACAAACTCATGGAAATTAAATAACAAACTACTGAAGGATGAATGAGTCAATGAGGAAACCAAGAAAAATTAAAACTAAATATAAAAGTCCTGGCACTAAATGAAAATGAAAACACAGCCCAACAAACCCTCTGGGACACATAAAACATTTCCCAAGAGGGAAATTCATAGTCCAAAGTCACTATACTGGAAAAAAAAAGCACAAATAAATGACTTAATGGTACAATTCAAGCATTTGGAAAAACAAGAACAAGCCAACCCAAATCCAGCAGACAGCAGAAAACAATAAAAATAAGAGAAGAAAAATGAGTTAGAAGGAAAGAAAACAACACGAAGAACCAACAAAGCTAAAGTTGGCCCCTTAAGAAGATAAGCACAATGAACAAACTCTTGGCTTAATTAAGCAAAAGAAAGAAACCATACCAATTAGCAGAATCAGAGATGAACAGGAAAATGTTACTTTACAACAGACATCAAAGAAATTACAATTAACAAATGAGAATACTTCAAAAACCATTCAGCTTTTGAAGTTAGAAATTTTAAGCTAGAAAGAGATGGACAAATGTCTAAATGCATCCAAACTACCAAGATGAAGAACTATAGGCAATTAATGACTTGTGACAAGAGAGACCCAATCTTCTCCAGGAACAAGCTCCCCAATGTCACAAGCCCTAAACACAGAGACATGAGCAACACTGCACCACCTCACTAGGTTAAATCTGTCTCTCTCCCTCTCTCTCTCTCTCTCTCTCTCTCTCTCTCTCTCTCTCTCTCTCTCTGTGTGTGTGTATGTGTGTGTGTGTGTGTGTGTGTGTGTGTGTCTGTGTCTGTGTCAGTGCCACATGCCCATACATGACTGTGCACATGTGTGTTTAAAGAATAAGAGACACAAATTTGAGGAGTGAAGATAACATAGGTGCCTTTGGAAGGAGAGAAAGTGGGAATTGATGTAAATTCTCATTTATAAAATTCTGAAAATATGAATAAAAAGTCATTAGTTCCTCCTGTGTCTAGGCCAACAGAAATTCATTCTGGAGAAGTGTCCATAAAGAACTTCGCATCCACAATCCCTGTTTGTGGGCCTGAGGAAGTCTTCACTCTTTTCAGGAGTGAAGACCCTACTTCATCAGAGCCTGAAACTTACACTGGAGGCTAAGACTGTCTTCTAAGACAGAAGTCTCAAATGAGATGGCCTAACCGCATGTTTGACTGTTGAGGTTTGGTCTTGCTGTCTATTGTCTAAGTGTGGGTCCCCAAGACCTGGTTGTCCCAGAGACAGAGAATCTGCATGTAGAACCAAGTGACACTCTGTGACCTTGCCCCCAAGTTATTTCTGATTGGTAAATAAAGATGCCAGCAACCAATAGCTGGGCAGAAGAGACATAGGTGGGGTTTAGAATTCCCAGGCTTGGGAGTCAGAGCAGAACCACAAGTTGGGGATAAGGTGGATGAAGAAGAGAAGCCACCATGGGTTAGGTGAGTCATGAAAAAATGGCCCTGAGGGCTGGCCAATTGGAGTTAAGAGCAGCTCAGATGAAAAATAGTAATGTCACAGGGTTATCGATAGGAAAGTAGATTCTAGTAGCATACAGGGTAGATATCTGCCCAACTCTTGTGCTGTTTAAGGCTTATTGTAAAAATAAAGATTGCGTGTGTCTTTTATCCAGAAACCAAATGGTCAAAGACAGGGTAGAAACCCCAGATTAGGATTTAAAATTTCTACAACACTTGATCCTACCCTGTGGGTTCCTCCCCTTTAGGACTACCATACAGACTGGGGGTTCTACAAGGAGCAGAGTGCATGGATGCCTAGGAGACCAAGCTCATTCCAAAGTCTGCCAAGAGCCCTGAGACTGACAATGTCCAGGGAGAGACAAAGGACTAGCTGATGAAGGCCAGGTATCAGACCAGCTATCAACCCAAGTTCTCCTCTTCTGTAGCGTCCCTGAAAGCAAAGACCCAAAACAGGGTGGCTGTGCTGTGCTAGCAAACTGCCTTCCCACTCACTCTTCTGGACACCCAGCTGGACAGTCTTTCCTAGTGCTTGAGGCAATGCTTCCCTCTCACCCGAAGAACCCCAGGAAAGTCCATCATAGGTATGCACATTGACTACACCCACGGGTGCTATAAGAAGTAGATGGGGACCCCCAAATCTCAACTCTCTGAGAATAACTTCCCCTAATCTAAAGGCTCCAGTATAACCCTGGTTCAGCATTTGAAATGTGATCTGGTTGTAGGGAACCTAGGGGCCTATGAAATCTTCCTCCTTCAAAATAGTTTTCTAATTTATAGAGTTGACATCTACTCAAGAGAAAAGGGTTGGATTTATTGCTGGTAAAATAATAAGTGTGTAACATGATACCTCTCTAAACCTCACTATGTATTTTTATAGGCCGATCAGTAATTATCTCCAGCAATGTAGCACTGACAGGTCAGGAGAGGACTCCTTGGCTGCCTGTGGGAGGGGAGAGTCCAAGGCCAGCCTGACTGCAGGAAGACCGCAGGACAGGGCAGCACCAGGAAGAAGACAAGAACACAAGGCTCAAGAACAAGAGAATCAGGAAGCCATGGAGACAGACAGAGGTGGTGGGCAGGACAGAAGGGAGCCAGGAGCTTGTTCACAACAAACTCAGGAACCCTATTCTTACTCCATGCAGGCAGTGACTATCCCTTCAGGGCTTCCTCCTGGTAAATCGAGCACAATGAGGATCCCAAGGGTGACTCATTCTATCCCCAGCCTGGCCATTTCCCCTTATGAGTTTTACTCAGACCCCCCCTCACCACCACCAAAAAAAGGTAGCCAAATTAGGAATGCTCATGGATATAAAGGCACCAGTTCTGCTGGCCTGCCACCTCCACCCTTCACATTTTTTGCCTGGTTTATGCTGAGAATCTCCATAAAATTCCTCAGCAAAGACGTATTCATCAAGCCCCAGTAGCTTCTACAGAAAACAACCCAGACACTTCTGTGTCATGGTAGACTGAGCTAGAGAAGTTGAAATAGGCATGTCCCTGAAGCACAAGGAAGGCTGCCATTGGCCTTGTCACTATCCAAGTTGACATAAGTTGACAGTTCAGCTGCAGAAGGGCACCAAAGAAGAGAGGTGTACTATATGACACTCACCTCCAATGTTGTTCTTAGATGCAGAGAAGGATTGTCAAAGGAGCTCACCCCCAGGCTGGGGTCTGGAGGACAAGTCTAAGTCAATGGTCGAAAAGGGAACAGATACTCATGGAAGCTTCCAGAAGGCGCTCAGTTTCAGCATCTGAGAATAGAGTTGTAGAAGGATTTTTTTTTTTTGGTCTTTATTATTTTTGTTCTTTTGGCCAACTCATAAAAATTATAAATATGAA